GAGCCACAACTCCACTTCCAGCCACATAGGAACTTCGGCTGGCTGGGCACCACCATGGTGGGCGAACCTGGCACTCTGGCACGGATGCTGAAAGCAGGAGGGCGGCGCTTTGCCAGTGCCAAGAATAAAGCAGAAGGCAGTGAGTGTCTGGCTGGGAGCTGGGGACCCCTGCAGGGGCTTTCCCTGTCTGGCAAGGTTCTAGGGCTCAGGAGAACAGAAGGCCCCCAGAAAGTGGCAACTTGGGCCAGGCCAAGAGACTCGTCTGGGCACCCACATAGCCTGGGGAGCTTCCTCGCCCCCGTCTGCCCTGTGAGGAGGAAACAGTGCTGAGTCTGCAGTTTAGATCTGGATTAGTCAATCCTAATGCAGCTAACGCAGTGGGGTGGGGTGGGGCTGGGAAAGAGGCTATGCACCTTCCTACAGTCAGTCCTGGCTACAAGGTCATTTTGCCCCTGAGACCCACCTCACTTCCGGCAACCGTTTTGGCCACAGAAAAGGGGCAAAAGGGAGGCTCTGGATTTGGAGCTGCTGTGGATCTTGGGGTGCAGCAGAGACTAGGGTCCATTTATGGAATTGCAGATTTCCTGCCTGCTTCTGCCCAAGACCTCCAGCTGCCCGTTTCCTTTTCCAGACAGATTTCCTTCCAGCAAGAGACCCCTGAACATGAGCCCCGGCTCCCTGAACTGCCTGTCCCACCATGGAAACGTCGCAGGCACTATATACAGCAGCTTCCCCTTCCCGTCTGTTGCAGCTCCGCTCAACCGTGCTGACCTGCATGGACTGGCCATCAATTCAGCTTCGGCCCCCCTCATACGGCGCGGGAGTCCCCATCGTTCCACCACGGTGGCCGCTCTGCATCCCAGCCAAGCCAGGTAGCAGCCCCCTCACCTCTTCCCTCACCCTGAGTTGGGGCCATGTCTGCGACTCCTAGCCAGCTGGCTTCTTCTTCCTTCAAGAAGGGGACCTGACCCAAAAAAACAGCAGATCCTTGGAGTTGGGACTGGGCAGGTGCCAATTATTGAGCCTTGCGCTGGGGGGGGGCAGCAGCAGAGAACAGATCTCTGCCCTGGTGCATCCAGACACCTCCATCTCTTTCAGCCATTCTCCCCAAAACCTCCACCTCTGCAGAGCCGTGTTTCCCCTCCAGCTAACAGCAAGTCCTGAGAACGGTTCTGTGCACTTGGGCTGCACCCCTCCCCTGCTCTCTCTGCAAGCCAGGTTCCCGCTGCAGATGCCAGTTAGCCTGCCCAAGCCTTGGGACAATTCTTGAAAAGCCCTGTGGGCTGGGAAGAGGTTTCTTTTGTAGCCAACTTTATATTAAAGTTTTATACAGTTCTATCCACCAGGGTTTGTCCGTCCTTTCACTTACAAGCTGCATCCTGTCCTTTTTGTGGGGATCCTGCGGCTGGATCAAGCCTGTTTGGTCTTCCAGAGCTTGATAAGGCAGCAGTTTTATTAGTTTTATTATTATTTTATTAAGTTTTATTATTCTTGTTTTAATATATTTACACGTACCTTTGCACCCATACAACCTCTTGTTTTTCACACGTGTTGGCTTCACACTTCATGATTTAACTAGTCTTTCAAAGCTTTCCACGTTGGTAGCCTTGTGGGCACCTTGCAAAAAGAGAGCGCCCAGATCTTACGCTGTTCGTTAGGGGACTGTTGCCGCTCATTTGTGCCTTGGTGCTAATGTAGGATTTTCAGGACAGATACCAAAGGACTAGAACACCAGGGGCGTCGCCAGGACAGCAACAAGTTTGAAGAAATTTTATTAAAATATTGTCCTGGAATGTACAGGTAGCCCTCGACTTACAACAATTCATTTACTGACCGTTCAAAATTACAACAACACTGAAAAAAGTGACGTGATCATTTTTCACACTTGCCTCTGTTGCAGCATCTCCATGGTCACGTGATCAACATTAAGGCGCTTGGCAACTAGTATTTACATTTGCAGTGGGGGTTGGGCGTCACGTGATCCCCTTTTGTGACCGCCACGTGACCGCGGAGCCGAGCGTCGTAGCGCCAAACGACACGCGCTCCCCCTGCCCTCTGACCCCGGAAGCTCCTCCCGGGAGGGGAGGCGGGAGCGAGCCAGGCGCAGGCGCGGCGGGGCAGGAGCAGCGGGCAGCCGCCGACCCGAAGGGCTCACCCGGAGGGGCGCAGGGAGGCCGAGCCGAGCTCGGGGCCGCCTTCCGGCCATGAAGCCCCCGCGGCTGCCGGACCTGCGGAAGCTGCTGGCCGGGCTGGCGGCCGCGCGCGCCGACGGGGCGGTCCTAGCGCCGGACGAGCAGCTGCGGGAGCTGGAGAGGTAGGCGCGCGCCCCTCGCCCCCCCCCCCAGCCGCCC